CCAAGCCTCCCAGGCCCAGCCCCAAGCCCAGCCCCCACCAGCTAACTCGGCCCCCAGCCCGCCATTCCCAAAATGAAAACTTCAAATCAAAAGCCAAAACCCGCCCAAAACTTCCGCGCAAAACTTTCGCCCAAAACTTCCAGTTCAGCTACCAGCCCAACCCAGCTTACCACCCCAACCCAGCCTAGCCCAGCCAGTCAAGCCAGCCAAAAAGCGAAGCAAAAACAAAACCGCCCCCCAAATATCGAACTGCATTTGCATTAGTTTCAAACTTTCATTAAACGCGTCCCGAACTGCATTTGCATTAGTTTCAAACTTTCATTAAACGCGTCCACGCAAAGTCCAGCCCAAGCCTCCCAGGCCCAGCCCCCACCAGCTAGCTCGGCCCCCAGCCCGCCACTCCCAAAATGAAAACTTCAAATCAAAAACCAAAACCCGCCCAAAACTTCCGCGCAAAACTTTCGCCCAAAACTTCCAGTTCAGCTACCAGCCCAACCCAGCCTACCAGCCCAACCCAGCCTAGCCTTCTCAGGCCTCCCCACCCCAGACACCCCAGCCAGCCCTGCTTCACTCCCAGTCCAGCCCAACCCAGCCCCAAACGCTCAAGCCTCCCCAACCCCCAGCCCTCAGCCCCCCCAGCCCCCCCAGCCCCCCCAGCCTCCCCAGCCTCCCCAGCCTCCAGCCAGCCCAGCCAAGTCCCAAAATCAAAAAGCAAAAGCAAAAGGCAAAACCCCCCAAAACCCGGCAAAACCCGGCAAACCCCGGCAAAACCCGGCAAAACCCGGCAAAACTCCGGACCCAAACCCTATACAATTTCTATAAACCCTAAACCCTAAACCCTAAACCCTAAACCCTAAACCCTAAACCCTAAACCCTAAACCCTAAACCCTAAACCCTAAACCCTAAACCCTCAAGAAAGTGATAAATAGAAATTGCTTGTCCTTGTTTGTAACCACCGCTAAGGCCCAGCATTTCGGATAAAACTGGCGTTAGCTTCTTGATAATCAAATTTCGCACAACCACAACTTCAACCATTAACTCAGCCCAACCAACTCAAAACAGCCACCCGATCAAAAACGGAACAAGCTTCTTGATAAACCAATTTCTCCATACCCTCCAACCCAGGCCCACTTTCCAATCCCCCAAATCCAGGTCCAAGCACCAGGCCCTCCAAGCCCAGGCCCCAGACCCCAGGCTCCCAGGCCCACCCCAAATCCAAGCTTCGAAATCCAGCCCCAAGCCCAGTCCCAAATCCAGGCTCTAGACCCCAAATCCAGGCCCACCCCAAATCCAGGCCCAATCCCAAATCCAGGCCCAGGCCCCAAATCCAGGCCCCAGCCCCAGGCTCCAGACCCCCAAATCCAAGCCCCCAAATCCAGGGTTCAGACCCCAAATCCAAGCTCCAGTCACAATTCCAGGCCATGCCCCAACTCCAGGCCCCATGCCCAAATCCAGGCTCCAGACCCCAAATCCAGTCCCAAATCCAAAATCCAGGCTCCAGACCCCAAATCCAAGCTCAGTCCCAAGTCCAGGCACCAGGCCCCAAATCCAGCCCCCAAATTGACCAGGCCCCAGGCCCCAAATCCAGGTTCAAATCCAGGCCACGAAAGGCCAGGAGCAGGCCACGAAAGGCCAGGAGCAGGCCACGAAAGGCCAGGAGCAGGCCACGAAAGGCCAGGAGCAGGCCACGAAAGGCCAGGAGCAGGCCACGAAAGGCCAGGAGCAGGCCACGAAAGGCCAGGAGCAGGCCACGAAAGGCCAAGAGCAGGCCACGAAAGGCCAGGAGCAGGCCACGAAAGGCCAGGAGCAGGCCACGAAAGGCCAGGACCAGGCCACGAAGGCCACGAAAGGCCAGGAGCAGGCCACGAAAGGCCAGGAGCAGGCCACGAAAGGCCAGGAGCAGGCCACGAAAGGCCAGGAGCAGGCCACGAAAGGTCAGGAGCAGGCCACGAAAGGCCAGGAGCAGGCCACGAAAGGCCAGGAGCAGGCCAGGAAAGGCCAGGAGCAGGCCAGGAAAGGCCAGGAGCAGGCCACGAAAGGCCAGGAGCAGGCCACGAAAGGCCAGAAGCAGGCCACGAAAGGCCAGGAGCAGGCCACGAAAGGCCAGGAGCAGGCCACGAAAGGCCAGGAGCAGGCCGCGAAAGGCCAGGAGCAGGCCACGAAAGGCCAGGAGCAGGCCACGAAAGGCCAGGAGCAGGCCACGAAAGGCCAGGAGCAGGCCACGAAAGACCAGGAGCAGGCCACGAAAGACCAGGAGCAGGCCACGAAAGGCCAGGAGCAGGCCACGAAAGGCCAGGAGCAGGCCACGAAAGGCCAAGAGCAGGCCACGAAAGGTCAAGAGCAGGCCACGAAAGGCCAGGAGCAGGCCACGAAAGGCCAGGAGCAGGCCACGAAAGGCCAGGAGCAGGCCACGAAAGGCCAGGAGCAGGCCACGAAAAGCTAGGAGCAGGCCACGAAAGGCCAGGAGCAGGCCACGAAAGGCCAGGAGCAGGCCACGAAAGGCCAGGAGCAGGCCACGAAAGGCCAGGAGCAGGCCACGAAAGGCCAGGAGAAGGCCACGAAAGGCCAGGAGCAGGCCACGAAAGGCCAGGAGCAGGCCACGAAAGACCAGGAGCAGGCCACGAAAGGCCAGGAGCAGGCCACGAAAGGCCAGGAGCAGGCCAAGAAAGGCCAGGAGCAGGCCAAGAAAGGCCAGGAGCAGGCCACGAAAGGCCAGGAGCAGGCCACGAAAGGCCAGGAGCAGGCCACGAAAGGCCAGGAGCGGCACGAAAGGCCACGAAAGGCCAAGAGCAGGCCACGAAAGAAAGGCCAGGAGCAGGCCACGAAAGGCCAGGAGCAGGCCACGAAAAGGCAGGAGCAGGCCACGAAAGGCCACGAAAGGCCAGGAGCAGGCCACGAAAGGCCAGAAGCAGGCCACGAAAGGCCAGGAGCAGGCCACGAAAGGCCAGGAGCAGGCCACGAAAGGCCAGGACCAGGCCACGAAAGGCCAGGAGCAGGCCACGAAAGGCCAGGAGCAGGCCACGAAAGGCCAGGAGCAGGCCACGAAAGGCCAGGAGCAGGCCACGAAAGGTCAGGAGCAGGCCACGAAAGGCCAGGAGCAGGCCACGAAAGGCCAGGAGCAGGCCACGAAAGGCCAGGAGCAGGCCACGAAAGGCCAGGAGCAGGCCACGAAAGGCCAGGAGCAGGCCACGAAAGGCCAGAAGCAGCTGCAACTTTTGCACTGAACCAATTTCGTGGCCGCCCCCCCCCCCCCCGTAGCCCCACCCCCGCGTAGCCCCAACCTCAGGACAGTCAAAACGTCTCGCACAAAGGTTTGGTTAGAAACGTTTCGCAGTATTCGCGTTCGATGTTGACACCGAGTACATACGTTGCCGCGTGAACTTGTTTATGCGACTTGAAAGTCACAATGATGCTACTGGTATCTGCAACTTTTGCACTGAATCAATTTCGTGGCCGCCCCCCCCCCCCCCGTAGCCCCAGCCCCAGGACGGTCAAAACGTCTCGCTCAAAAGTTTCGCTCGAAACGTTTCGCAGCCCCCAACAAATTTGAAAGACCAGCCCCAGCCTCCAGCCTCAGCCCCCGCCCCAGCCCCAAGACGGTCAAAACGTCCCGCTCCAAAGTTTCGTTCAAAACATTTCGCAGCCCCCAAGAAATTGGGAAACATGGTTCGCAAAAAAAAACTTTCGGTCAAAACGTTTCGTTCAAAACGTTTCGTTCAAAACTTTCGGTCAAAAAGTTTTTGGGACCCAAACCCTTAACAATTTCTCTAAACCCTAAACCCTAAACCCTAAACCCTAAACCCTAAACCCTAAACCCTAAACCCTAAACCCTAAACCCTAAACCCTAAACCCTTAAACCCTAAACCCTAAACCCTCAAGAGCAGGATAAATAGAAATTGTGTGATTTTCGTTTCGATCTGCAGTTGCAATAGTTTCAAATTTTCGCTAAACGTGTCCAACCAAATCCAGCCCAAGCCAGCCACAGCAGCCCAGCCCAGCAGCCGACCCGCCCAGCCCATCCAGCCCCCCAGCCCAGCCCTAGCCCCCACCAGCCAGCTCGGCCCAAAATGAAAACTTCAAGTCAAAAAACAAAACCCGCCCAAAACCTTCGCTCAAAACTTTCGTCTAAAACTTCGGACCCAAACCCTATACAATTTCAACCCCCTAGCCCTTTCAAGTCAAAAAACAAAACCCTCCCAAAACTTTCGCTCAAAACTTTCGCCCAAAACTTTCGGTCAAAACCGGAATGCGCGAAATCACAAATCAAAAACCAAAACTTTCGCCCAAAACGTTTCGCTCAAAACTTTCGGTCGAACCCCCGGACCCAACCCCGGCTGGATTTCACCTGCGAGCCGCATGACGAATGCAAGCTGAACCAAATCCCGCCACCCTCTTTGCCTTCAGATTTTAGACCCAACCGTCTCAGCCCCTACGCACCAGGGCCCAGCCCAGCAGCCCAGCTGTCAGGCGCTCATCCTCAAGCAGAATGCGGGCAAGCCACGAAAGAGAGGCGCAGCCGCCACGCTTATCCTCAACCAGAATAGGGGCCAGGGGGTACAGCCGCCACGCTTATCCGTTGCCAGGCGAAGAGGTGCAGCCGCCACGCTTATCCTCAACCAGAATGGGGGCCAGGGGGAAGAGGCGCAGCCGCCACGCTTATCCAGAATAGGGGCCAGGGGGTACATCAAGAGGTGCAGCCGCCACGCTTATCCTCAACCAGAATGGGGGCCAGGGGGAAGAGGCGCAGCCCAGCCACCAGCAACCTTATCCTCAACCAGCATAGGGCTTATTCCGTGCCAGCGAAGAGGGTGCAGCCTACAGCGCTACCTCAACTAGAATGGGGGCATCCTCAACCAGAAGAGGGTTCCGGGTTACCCGGCCACGCTTCTCCAGGGCCAGGCGAAGAGTTCCGCCGCACGCTTATCTCACCCAGAAAATTACGCTTATCTGGTGCCAGGCGAAGAGGTGCAGCCGCCACGCTTATCCTCAACCAGAATGGGGGCCAGGGGGAAGAGGCGCAGCCGCCACGCTTATCCTCAACCAGAATAGGGGCCAGGGGGTACAGCCGCCACGCTTATCCGGTGCCAGGCGAAGAGGCGCAGCCGCCACGCTTATCCTCAACCAGAATAGGGGCCAGGGGGAAGAGGTGCAGCCGCCACGCTTATCCTCAACCAGAATAGGGGCCAGGGGGTACAGCCGCCACGCTTATCCGGTGCCAGGCGAAGAGGTGCAGCCGCCACGCTTATCCTCAACCAGAATAGGGGCCAGGGGTACAGCCGCCACGCTTATCCGGTGCCAGGCGAAGAGGTGCAGCCGCCACGCTTATCCTCAACCAGAATGGGGGCCAGGGGCAAAAGGCGCAGCCGCCACGCTTATCCTCAACCAGAATTGAGGGTGCAGGGGTTAAAAACCATAGCCGCCACGCTTATCTGGTGCCAGGCGAAGAGGTGCAGCCGCCACGCTTATCCTCAACCAGAATGGGGGCCAGGGGGAAGAGGCGCAGCCGCCACGCTTATCCTCAACCAGAATAGGGCCACCCAGGGGAAGAGGGGCTCAGCCCCGCCACGCTTATCCTCAACCAGAATAGGGGCCAGGGGGTACAGGCGCCACGCTTATCCGGTGCCAGGCGAAGAGGTGCAGCCGCCACGCTTATCCTCAACCAGAATGGGGGCCAGGGGGAAGAGGCGCAGCCGCCACGCTTATCCTCAACCAGAATAGGGGCCAGGGAGTACAGCCGCTACGCTTATCCGGTGCCAGGCGAAGAGGTGCAGCCGCCACGCTTATCCTCAACCAGAATGGGGGCCAGGGGGAAGAGGCGCAGCCGCCACGCTTATCCTCAACCAGAATACACGCTTATCCGGTGCCAGGCGAAGAGGTGCAGCCGCCACGCTTATCCTCAACCAGAATGGGGGCCAGGGGGAAGAGGCGCAGCCGCCACGCTTATCCTCAACCAGAATACACGCTTATCCGGTGCCAGGCGAAGAGGTGCAGCCGCCACGCTTAGCCTCAACCAGATAGAGGCGCAGCCGCCACGCTTATCCTCAACCAGAATAGGGGCCAGGGGGTACAGCTGCCACGCTTATCCGGCGCCAGGCGAAGAGGTGCAGCCGCCACGTTTATCCTCAACCAGACTGGGGCCAGGGGAAGAGGCCATCCGCCACGCTTCTCCTCGACCAGAATAGGCAGCCGCCACCTTATCCCGGTGCCATGCAAGAGTTCAAGCCGCCACGCCTATCCTCAACCAAAGGTGGGGCCCCATGGGAAGAGGCGCACCGCCACGCTATCCTCAACCAGAATAGGGGTCAGGGTACAGCCGCCAAGCACCCGTTCCAGGCGAGAGGTGCAGCCTCCACGCTTATCCTCACCAGAAAGGGGCCAGGGGGTACAGCCGCCACGCTTATTATCCGGTGCCAGGCGAAGAGGTGCAGCCGCCACGCTTATCCTCAACCAGAATAGGGGCCAGGGGGTACAGCCGCCACACTTATCCGGTGCCAGGCGAAGAGGTGCAGCCGCCACGCTTATCCTCAACCAGAATGGGGGCCAGGGGCAAAAGGCGCAGCCGCCACGCTTATCCTCAACCAGAATAGGGGCCAGGGGGTACAGCCGCCACGCTTATCCGGTGCCAGGGGTGCATCAACCAGAATGGGGGCCAGGGGGAAGAGGCGCAGCCGCCGCGCTTATCCTCAACCAGAATAGGGGCCAGGGGGAAGAGGCGCAGCCGCCACGCTTATCCTCAACCAGAATAGGGGCCAGGGGGTACAGCCGCCACGCTTATCCGGTGCCAGGCGAAGTGCCAGGCGAAGAGGTGCAGCCGCCACGCTTATCCGGGGTTGGGTTCCCCCCAACCCCCACCCCACTCCCGCCCCCCCGGGCCCCCTCCCCCCACCCCCCACCCTCCTACCCGCCGCCCCCCTACCTTCCCCCCTTCAACCTGTCAGGCGCTCATCCTCAAGCAGAATGCGGAAGCCACAACAAGAGGCGCAGCCGCCACGCTTATCCTCAACCAGAATAGGGGCCAGGGGGTACAGCCGCCACGCTTATCCGGTGCCAGGCGAAGAGGTGCAGCCGCCACGCTTATCCTCAACCAGAATGGGGGCCAGGGGGAAGAGGCGCAGCCGGGTGCCAGGCGAAGAGGTGCAGCCGCCACGCTTATCCTCAACCAGAATGGGGGCCAGGGGGAAGAGGTGCAGCCGCCACGCTTATCCTCAACCAGAATAGGGGTCAGGGGGTACAGCCGCCACGCTTATCCAGTGCCAGGCCAGGGGGAAGAGGCGCAGCCGCCACGCTTACCGCCACGCTTTTCCGGTGCCAGGCGAAGAGGTGCAGCCGCCACGCTTATCCTCAACCAGAACAGGGGGAAGAGGCGCAGCCGCCACGCTTATCCTCAACCAGAATTGGGGCCAGGGGGTACAGCCGCCACGCTTATCCGGTGCCAGGCGAAGAGGTGCAGCCGCCACGCTTATCCTCAACCAGAATAGGGGGTACAGCCGCCACGCTTATCCGGTGCCAGGCGAAGAGGTGCAGCCGCCACGCTTATCCTCAACCAGAATGGGGGCCAGGGGAAAGGCGCAGCCGCCACGCTTATCCTCAACCAGAATAGGGGCCAGGGGGTACAGCCGCCACGCTTATCCGGTGCCAGGCGAAGAGGTGCAGCCGCCACGCTTATCCTCAAGGCCAGAATGGGGGCCAGGGGGAATACGCAGCCGCCGCGCGAGAGGTGCAGCCGCCACGCTTAATAGGGGGAAGAGGCGCAGCCGCCACGCTTATCCTCAACCAGAATAGGGGCCAGGGGGAGCCGCCACGCTTATCCGGTGCCAGGCGAAGAGGTGCAGCCGCCACGCTTATCCTCAACCAGAATGGGGGCCAGGGGGAAGAGGCGCAGCCGCCACGCTTATCCTCAACCAGAATAGGGGCCAGGGGGTACAGCCGCCACGCTTATCCGGTGCGCAGGTAGAAGAGGTGCAGCCGCCACGCTTATCCTCAACCAGAATGGGGGCCAGGGGGAAGAGGCGCAGCCGCCACGCTTATCCTCAACCAGAATACACGCTTATCCGGTGCCAGGCGAAGAGGTGCAGCCGCCACGCTTAGCCTCAACCAGATAGAGGCGCAGCCGCCACGCTTATCCTCTCAACCTGAAGAAGACGGAGGCGCATGCAGAAGTGGTTGCTTATCCTCAACCAATATGGTCTCCCAGGTGCTTATACTCAACCTGAAAAAAGACGAAGGCAAGGGACAAGGCCGGAGGGCTCGCATGGAGAGGTGGTGCGCTTATCCTCAACCAATATGGGGCACCAGGTGCTTATCTTCAACCTGAAGAAAGACAGAGACGGGACGAGGCCGGAGGGCTCGCATGCAGAAGTGGCTCGCTTATCCTCAACCAATATGGGGTACCAGGTGCCTGCTCATGCTCTAATGACACTCCCCCATTAAGTCTATTCTGCAACCGAGTGCACACATGTGTGCAAGTGCTCGCTATGCATGACAAGCCGAGCTAGTTCCGCTCACGTGGGCTCAATGTGAAGAGTCGTAGTCCTGCTCTGTGTCCGAGCTTCGGCCTATAGGTAGCCGCTTACGGCTGGAATCTCAGTCGTCACAACAGCGAGTGCCTAAGATCATGCCCACGGCCCTTGTTTCTGAGATCGACCGGCGCAACAGAGATGTCCCAGAACATGGGCGAAGGTTCCAGAAGCTCAGACCACTCGATTCGGGGCTCCGAACTGGAGGACTGCGAGGACCCTTTCGACTGTTGGGACTGGGTCGACGCAGAAATGCAGCACGACGCCGAGGAAGATGCACGTGGAGGAACAAGATGGAACAAAGAGATGGAGATGCAGAGGGAGTTCAGCGAGCGTCTTGCTGACCTGACGGTGAGGTACCTGAACATGCAGGGTGCCGAGATCCATTCCTCGAAGCCTTATCGCCTGCTCTGCCAACTCGAACCGCCCGGATCTTTCCGGGAAGCTTGGCTCGCCCAGCTGCACGAGGGCAACAACCCCGATCGCTGCCTATCCCTGCAAGAACTACGTGTCAAATTTCAGAAGACCATGAAGCCCATCCCGCCGGAAACGCTGCAGCATCGCAGCACCAGAGAGGTCTTGCTGTTGGACTTGGACAGCAGTCCTGCAGGACCCATTCCCATCGAAGGCACGCAACTGGTTTTGGACGGAGACGTGATCAGCGACGCTTGGAGCTGGCGCGAACTCCTGGACCGCAGCTTCCACGACGAGGTCGTGGACGTGCAAGTTGTCTACATGTCAAAGCAAGCCACAGACCGCTAGAGCTCCAAACGCGAGCAGCAACAAACGCAAAAAGGAGCGAGCGCTGCAGCAAGGGATACGGCAGTCTGGACACGGCCGGTTTGAGCTGTCGTTGCATCTCAGTCCTGCATCGGTCAATGACATGGCTTGTAGACTCAATAGACGGTGATCCAGTCTGGAATCACCTGTTCCTGAAAAGATTTTGTGCTGTTCTTCGTTTGATTAATTTGCTCGCTGATGGAACATGCTTGAGATTTGATCGCAGCCGTGCGGATACAGCCTTAGCTGAGCTTAGGAACCGCCTTATCGCAATTCGTTAGGATGGCGCCTTGCCCACGGTGTGGCTGGCCAATGCAAGGCCGAGGAAAAGGATGGTGCAGCAATCGACAGTGCCGCGAAGCTCAGAAAGAGGAGAACCTCCGCCGGAAGAGCGAGGAGAAGAGTGCTCAACAGCAGAAACGTGCTGCGCAAGGAGCGGGCAGCCGTGGACCTGTGCCTGTTGCAAACAGCACTCGGGCCCAGAGGCAACAACTTCAAGCTGACCGCGCAGAAGAAGGACTTGGCAGCCGCGGGCCTTTGCCCACGGAGAAAAGCAGACAGGCGCAGGGACAACAACTTCAAGCTCAACGTGCAGAAGAAGGACTTGGCAGCCGCGGGCCTGTACCCACGGAGGACCGCAGGCGGGCGCAGGGACAACAACTTCAAGCTCAACGCGCAGAAGAAGGACTTGGCAGCCGCGGGCCTGTACCCACGGAGGACAGCAGGCGGGCGCAGGGACGACAACTTCAAGCTCAACGCGCAGAAGAAGGACTTGGCAGCCGTGGTCCTTTGCCGATCGCCACAGAGGCCCAACAGCGGGGCTACCCGTTCCCGGATGAAGATGTGCTGACCTCGGAGCAAGCGCAAGCCCACTACTTGGCTTTTACGCGAAGCTGGAGTCGATTCGGATTGTCCAGGGTGTGTGAAGCATGTCACACTCTCACAACCGCGAAGCATTGCAGGCCGGCGAAGCAAACCGGCAACATGCTCTGCAGGAACTGTCGGGAGAATGTCACCAAGATCTTCTTGCCCACTTCACCACCCATCCCAGAAGCGCTCCAGAGCCTGCAGCCGATCGAGCATCACCTGCTCGCCATGGCGCGAATCTCTCAAGTCCTGCTTGACAAGCTTCCTTCCGGCGGGCCAAGTGCGCAGTGGGGCCGCATGTATGCAATGCTGGTCGACGAGCCTTTCATTTGCGACGTGCTGGATGGCGCAACGCTCGAAGAAGATGGCACGGTCCTAGTGGAGGGAGTCCAAGGCATGACCGCTTCGCCGGCCCGCCTCGACCACCTGTACCAAGCCTTGCGGCAGCTGAAATCCCAGCACCGCCTCTACCAGGCGAGCCCGGCTGTGGACAAAGCCCTGGACGATATGGCTGCAATTCTCCATGGCAAAGCACCCACCGCCAAGGACGATGCTGCAGCAGCAGCGCCTGTGTCACCGGCCGAAAGAGAATCGGAAGAGCTCGAAGTGACATACATGCTTCCCAAAGAGCTAAAGGCTCCCCGAGCCGACACACACGAGCTACGAAAGGCCAGGGACGTATCAGCGATGTGCGACGACATGGACGTGAAGCTCTTTCCGCACCTGTTTCCCACCGGCCAGGGCGGGTGGCAGGACCAGTACGGCAGCTTCTCTCAATATGCGCGAAAGCGTCTCCTGAATCTCGACCCACGCTTCGAGGCGTCCGCCGGCTACATCATGTGGCTGCTGGAGATGCACATCAAGAAGCGCCTCTCGGGCAACGTGAATGTCAGGATAGGCCAGGAAGGCCCCAGCGAGAAGACCAAGTACAAGGACGGGAAAGGACGAGTGTTCGCGGCTCTCCGGGACATCCCTGGAACCAGCTCGTACGTCTTCGCAAAGAAGGGCGTCGCGGTCAACATGTACGAGCAGCTCGGAGCGCCCAAATTCTTCATGACCCTGTCGTGCCATGCCCGACAGCCCGACATCCTGATCGCCGTCATCATGGCACGGCTGCTCCGGCTGCGTCCTGCGAAACCGCCACAAGAGATCGAGAGAGAAGCCGCTCAGATCCTGCAGTGCTACCAAGCCGACGAGAAGTTCACCTGGGACGGTCTGTCCCCGATTGTGTGATTTTCGTTTCGATCTGCAGTTGCAATAGTTTCAAATTTTCGCTAAACGTGTCCAACCAAATCCAGCCCAAGCCAGCCACAGCAGCCCAGCCCAGCAGCCGACCCGCCCAGCCCATCCAGCCCCCCAGCCCAGCCCTAGCCCCCACCAGCCAGCTCGGCCCAAAATGAAAACTTCAAGTCAAAAAACAAAACCCGCCCAAAACCTTCGCTCAAAACTTTCGTCTAAAACTTCGGACCCAAACCCTATACAATTTCAACCCCCTAGCCCTTTCAAGTCAAAAAACAAAACCCTCCCAAAACTTTCGCTCAAAACTTTCGCCCAAAACTTTCGGTCAAAACCGGAATGCGCGAAATCACAAATCAAAAACCAAAACTTTCGCCCAAAACGTTTCGCTCAAAACTTTCGGTCGAAACCCCGGACCCAACCCCGGCTGGATTTCACCTGCGAGCCGCATGACGAATGCAAGCTGAACCAAATCCCGCCACCCTCTTTGCCTTCAGATTTTAGACCCAACCGTCTCAGCCCCTACGCACCAGGGCCCAGCCCAGCAGCCCAGCAGCCCACAACCCCGCAACAGCAGCACCCAGCCCAGCCCAGAGCCCCCTTCCCCAGTCCCAGCCCGGTCAATCAAGGGCTCAGCCAGCCAATAATGCCCAAGCCCACTCGGGACCTGAACCCCCGCCACCCTCCTTGCCTTCAGATTTTAGACCCACCCGCCTCAGCCCCTACGCACCAGGGCCCAGCCCACCAGCCCGGTCAATGTCCAGCCCAGCCCAGCCACTTCGCCAGCCGAATGCCCAAGCCCTAGCCGGTCCAGCCCAGCCCAGCCCAGCCACTTCCCAAAGTCAAAATGACAAAGCAAAAACAAAAACCCGCTCAAAACTCGGTAAAAACTTTGTCAAAACTCGGTCAAAACTCGGGACCTGAACCCTATACAATTTCTATAAACCCCTAAACCCTAATCCCCCCTCTCCTGCCCCCACACCCCCTTGCACAACCCTTATTCTCAACCTAAATGGGGGGTTGGAAACCCCAGCGGGTTGGGTTCCCTGACCCCCCCACCCCCTTGCCCCCCTTCCACCCCCCTCTCCTGCCCCACACCCCCTTGGGGCGGGTAGAGGGGGGGAGGCACACCCAGAAACCCAGTGAGGGGTGGGTTCAAGGCCTTCTTGGAAGGTCAATGGACCCAGGATGCACAGCCACCACCCGTGTTGCCAACCCCTGCCTGTGAACCAGCAGCTGAGGCAGCTGAGGCAGCTGAGGACTCGTTGGAGGGCACACAGAGAGTTCGCAGGTTCAGGCTGGCAACTCACCAACCCCACCCCACTCCCGCCCGCCCCCTCCACCCACCCCCCACCCTCCTACCCGCCACCCCCCTACCTTCCCCCCTTCAACCTGTCAGGCGCTCATCCTCAAGCAGAATGCGGGCGCCACGAAAGAGAGGCGCAGCCGCCACGCTTATCCTCAACCAGAAGAGGGGCCAGGGGGTACAGCCGCCACGCTTATCCGGTGCCAGGCAAAGAGGTGCAGCCGCCACGCTTATCCTCAACCAGAATGGGGGCCAGGGGGAAGAGGCGCAGCCGCCACGCTTATCCAGAATAGGGGCCAGGGGGTACATCAAGAGGTGCAGCCGCCACGCTTATCCTCAACCAGAATGGGGGCCAGGGGGAAGAGGCGCAGCCGCCACGCTTATCCTCAACCAGAATATAGGGGCCAGGGGGTACAGCCGCCACGCTTATCCGGTGCCAGGCGAAGAGGTGCAGCCGCCACGCTTATCCTCAACTAGAATGGGGGCCAGGGGGAAGAGGTGCAGGAGCCACGCTTATCCTCAACCAGAATGGGGGCCAGGGGGCTTATCCTCAACCAGAAAAGGGGCCAGGGGGTACAGCCGCCACGCTTATCCGGTGCCAGGCGAAGAGGTGCAGCCGCCACGTTTATCCTCAACCAGAATGGGGGCCAGGGGGAAGAGGCGCAGCCGCCACGCTTATCCAGAATAGGGGCTAGGGGGTACAGCCGCCACGCTTATCCGGCGCCAGGTGAAGAGGTGCAGCCGCCACGCTTATCCTCAACCAGAATGGGGGCCAGGGGGGAAGAGGCGCAGCCGCCACGCTTATCCTCAACCAGAATAGGGGCCAGGGGGTACAGCCGCCACGCTTATCCGGTGCCAGGCGAAGAGGTGCAGCCGCCACGCTTATCCGCAGCCGCCACGCTTATCCTCAACCAGAATAGGGGCCAGGGGGTACAGCCGCCACGCTTATCCGGTGCCAGGCGAAGAGGTGCAGCCATCACGCTTATCCTCAACCAGAATGGGGCCCAAGGGGAAGAGGCGCAGCCGCCACGCTTATCCTCAACCAGAAGAGGGGCCAGAGGGTACAGCCGCCACGCTTATCCGGTGCCAGGCAAAGAGGTGCAGCCGCCACGCTTATCCTCAACCAGAATAGGGGCCAGGGGGAAGAGGCGCAGCCGCCACGCTTATGCTGAAACAGAATAGGGGTCAGGGGGTACAGCCGCCACGCTTATCCGGTGCCAGGCGAAGAGGTGCAGCCGCCACGCTTATCCTCAACCAGAATGGGGGACAGGGGGAAGAGGCGCAGCCGCCACGCTTATCCTCAACCAGAATAGGGGCCAGGGGGTACAGCCGCCACGCTTATCCGGTGCCAGGCGAAGAGGTGCAGCCGCCACGCTTATCCTCAACCAGAATGGGGGCCAGGGGGAAGAGGCGCAGCCGCCACGCTTATCCTCAACCAGAATAGGGGCCAGGGGGTACAGCCGCCACGCTTATCCGGTGCCAGGCGAAGAGGTGCAGCCGCCACGCTTATCCTCAACCAGAATGGGGGCCAGGGGGAATCGAGCGCGTATCCTCAACCATCATGGCGTCCCAGGTGTGTTATCCTCAAGCAATATGGGGTCCACGGTGCGTGGTCTCAACCTGAAGAAGACGGAGGCGGGGACAAGGCCGGAGCGCTTATCCTCAACCAATATGGGGTCCCAGGTGCGTGGTTTCAACCTGAAGAAGATGGAGGCGGGGACAAGACCGGAGCGTTTATCCTCGAGGTCAGGAGGTGCAGCCGCCACGCTTGTCGCTGAATAGGGTTCGGAAGTGCAGCCGCCACGCTTATCCGGTGCCAGGCGAAGAGGTGCAGCCGCCACGCTTATCCTCAACCAGAATGGGGGCCAGGGGGAAGAGGCGCAGCCGCCACGCTTATCCTCAACCAGAATAGGGGCCAGGGGGTACAGCCGCCACGCTTATCCGGTGCCAGGCGAAGAGGTGCAGCCGCCACGCTTATCCTCAACCAGAATGGGGGCCAGGGGGAAGAGGCGCAGCCGCCACGCTTATCCTCAACCAGAATAGGGGCCAGGGGGTACAGCCGCCACGCTTATCCGGTGCCAGGCGAAGAGGTGCAGCCGCCACGCTTATCCTCAACCAGAATGGGGGCCAGGGGGAAGAGGCGCAGCCGCCACGCTTATCCTCAACCAGAATAGGGGCCAGGGGGCACAGCCGCCACGCTTATCCGGTGCCAGGCGAAGAGGTGCAGCCGCCACGCTTACCCTCAACCAGAATGGGGGCCAGGGGAAGAGGTGCAGCCGCCACGCTTATCCTCAACCAGAATAGGGGCCAGGGGGTACAGCCGCCACGCTTATCTGGTGCCAGGCGAAGAGGTGCAGCCGCCACGCTTATCCTCAACCAGAATGGGGGCCAGGGGGAAGAGGCGCAGCCGCCACGCTTATCCTCAACCAGAATAAAGGGGCCAGGGGGTACAGCCGCCACGCTTATCCTCAACCAGAATGGGGGCCAGGGGGAAGAGGCGCAGGCGCAGCCGCCACGCTTATCCTCAACCAGAATAGGGGCCAGGGGGTACAGCCGCCACGCTTATCCGGTGCCAGGCGAAGAGGTGCAGCCGCCACGCTTATCCTCAACCAGAATGGGGGCCAGGGGGAAGAGGCGCAGCCGCCACGCTTATCCTCAACCAGAATAGGGGTCAGGGGGTACAGCCGCCACGCTTATCCGGTGCCAGGCGAAGAGGTGCAGCCGCCACGCTTATCCTCAACCACGCAGCCGCCACGCTTATCCTCAACCAGAATAGGGGCCATGAGGTACAGCCGCCACGCTTATCCGGTGCCAGGCGAAGAGGTGCAGCCGCCACGCTTATCCTCAACCAGAATGGGGGGCCAGGGGGAAGAGGCGCAGCCGCCACGCTTATCCTCAACTAGAATAGGGGACAGGGGGTACAGCCGCCACGCTTATCCGGTGCCAGGCGAAGAGGTGCAGCAGCCACGCTTATCCTCAACCAGAATGGGGGCCAGGGGGAAGAGGCGCAGCCGCCACGCTTATCCTCAACCAGAATAGGGGCCAGGGAGTACAGCCGCCACGCTTATCCGGTGCCAGGTGAGGAGCAGCCGCCACGCTTATCCTCAACCAGAATAGGGGCCAGGGGGTACAGCCGCCACGCTTATCCGGCGCCAGGTGAAGAGGTGCAGCCGCCACGCTTATCCTCAACCAGAATGGGGGCCAGGGGGAAGAGGCGCAGCCGCCACGCTTATCCTCAACCAGAATAGGGGCCAGGGGGAACAGGCGCAGCCGCCACGCTTATCCTCAACCAGAATAGGGGCCAGGGGGTACAGCCGCCACGCTTATCCGGTGCCAGGCGAAGAGGTGCAGCCGCCACGCTTATCCTCAACCAGAATGGGGGCTAAGGGGAAGAGGCGCAGCCGCTACGCTTATCCTCAACCACAATAGGGGCCAGGGGGTACAGCCGCCACGCTTATCCGGTGCCAGGCGAAGAGGTGCAGCCGCCACGCTTATCCTCAACCACGCAGCCGCCACGCTTATCCTCAACCAGAATAGGGGCCAGGGGGTACAGCCGCCACGCTTATCCGGTGCCAGGCGAAGTGCAGCCGCCACGCTTATCCTCGACCAGAATGGCCACGCTTATCCTCAACCAGAATAGGGGCCAGGGGGTACAGCCGCCACGCTTATCCAGGGGGTACAGCCGCCACGCTTATCCGGTGCCAGGCGAAGAGGTGCAGCCGCCACGCTTATCCTCAACCAGAATGGGGGCCAGGGGGAAGAGGCGCAGCCGCCGCGCTTATCCTCAACCAGAGGTGCGTGGTCTCCACTCCAAGAAGATCGGCTTATCCTCAACTAATTTGGGGTCCTAGGTGCATGGTCTCAACTCGAAAAGGATGGAGGCGGGGACCAGGCCGCAGTGCTTATCCTCAACTAATATGTCCCAGGTGCGTGGTCTTAACTCGAAAAGGATGGAGGCGGGGACCAGGCCGGGGCGAGCATCCTCAACCAATATGGGGTCCCAGGTGCCTGGTCTCCACTCCAAGAAGACCGGGGCGGGGACGAGGCCGGAGCGCTTAACCTCAACCAATATGGGGTCCCAGGTGTGTGGTCTCCACTCGAAGAGGACGGAGGCCGGGACAAGGTCGGAGCACTTATCCTCAACTAAGGGGGGTCCCAGGTCCGTGGTGTCAACTCGAAAAGGATGGAGGCGGGGACAAGGCCGGAGTGACCAAGGCGGGGACGAGGTCGGAGCGCTTATCCGATCTTATCCTCAACCAATGTGGGGTCCCAGGTGCGTTATCCTCAATTAATATGGGGTTGCCGGTGGAGCGCTTCTTATCCTCAACCAATATTGGGTCCCAGGTGCGCGGTGTCAACCTGAAGAAGATGGAGGCGGGGACAAGGCCGGAGCGCTTATCCTCAACCAATATGGGGTCCCAGGTGCGTGGTCTCAATCTGAAGAAGACGGAGGCGGGGACAAGGCCGGAGCGCTTATCCTCAACCATCATGGCGTCCCAGGTGTGTTATCCTCAAGCAATATGGGGTCCACGGTGCGTGGTTTCAACTTGAAGAAGACGGAGGCGGGGACAAGCCCGGAGCGCCACGCTTATTCTCAACCTGAATGGGCGCAGCCGCCACGCTTATCCTCAACCTGAATAGGGTTCGGAAGTGCAGCCGCTACGCTTATCGTGCAGCCGCCACGCTTATCCTCAACCTGAATGGGGTCCGGAGGTGCAGCCGCCACTCTTGTCGTGCAGCCGCCACGCTTATTCTCAACCTGAATGGGGGCCCGAAGGCGCAGCCGCCACGCTTATCCTCAACCTGAATGGGGTCCAGAGGTGCAGCCGCCACGCTTATCCTGCAGCCGCCACGCTTATCCTCAACCTGAATGGGGTCCGGAGGTGCAGCCGCCACATTTATCGTGCAGCCGCTACGCTTATCTTCAACCTGACTAGTCCGGAGGCGCAGCCGCCACGCTTATCCTCAACTTGAATGGGGTCCGGAGGTGCAGCCGCCACGCTTGTCGTGCAGCCGCCACGCTTATTCTCAACCTGAATGGGCGCAGCCGCCACGCTTATCCTCAACCTGAATAGAGTTCGGAAGTGCAGCCGCCACGCTTATCGTGCAGCCGCCACGCTTATCCTCAACCTGAATGGGGTCCGGAGGTGTAGCCGCCACTCTTGTCGTGCAGCCGCCACGCTTATTCTCAACCTGAATGGGGGCCCGAAGGCGCAGCCGCCACGCTTATCCTCAACCTGAATGGGGTCCGGAGGTGCAGCCGCCACGCTTATTATTCTCAACCTGAATGGGGGTCTAGAGGCGCAGCCGCCACGGTGCAGCTGCCACGCTTTTCGTGCAGCCACCACGCTTACCGGAGGTGCAGCCGCCAACTTATCCTCAACCAATACGGGGTGCCAGGCGCGTAGACTCAACCCGAAGAAGACGGAGGCGGAGACGAGGTCGGAGCGCTTGTCCTCAACTAATATGGGGTTTCAGGTGCATGGTCTAAACCCGAAGAAGACGGAGGCGCGGACGAGGCCGGAGCGCTGGTCCTCAACCAATGTCCTCAACCAATATGGGCTTTCAGGTGCATGGTTTCAACCTGAGAAGAAGACGAAGGAAGGGACAAGGCCGGAGAGCTTATCCTCAACCAAGATGGGGTCCTAAGTGCGTGGTCCCAGGTGCGTGGTCTCACCCCGAAGAAGACGGAGGCGGGAACGAGGCCCGAGGGGTCCGCAGGCAGAACGTCCCAGGTGCGTGGTCACGCCGAAGAAGGGTCCCAACCCGAAGGAGACGGAGGCAAGGACGAGGGCAGAGCGCTTATCCTCAACGTTCCAGGTGCGTGGTCTCAACCCGAAGAATGCGAAGGCGGGGACCAGGCCGGAGCGCTTATCCTCAACCAAGATGGGGTTCCAGGTGCGTGGTCTCACAGCCCGAAGAAGACGGAGGCGGGGACGAGGCCGGAGCGTTTATCCTCAACCACGATGGGGTTCCAGGTGCGAGGTCTCACAGCCCGAAGAAGACGGAGGCGCGGACGAGGCCGGGGCGCTTATCCTCAACCAAGATGGGGTTCCAGGTACGTGGTCTCACAGCCCGAAGAAGACGGAGGCGGGGACGAGGCCGGAGCGTTTATCCTCAACCAAGATGGGGTTCCAGGTGCGTGGTCTCACAGCCCGAAGAAGACGGAGGCGCGGACGAGGCCGGGACTGCGTGGTCTCACAGCCCGAAGAAGACGGAGGCGCGGACGAGGCCGGGGCGTTTATCCTCAACCAAGATGGGGTCGCAGGTGCCTGGTCTCACACCCCGAAGAAGACGGAGGCGCGAACGAGGCCGGAGCGTTTATTCTCAACCAAGATGGGGTTCCAGGTGCGTGGTCTCACAGCCCGAAGAAGACGGGGACGAGGCCGGAGCACTTATCCTCAACCAAGATGGGGTTCCAGGTGCGTGGTCTCACAGCCCGAAGAAGACGGAGGCGGGGACGAGGCCGGAGCACTTATCCTCATCCAACATGGGGTCCCAGGTGCGCGGTCTCAGCCCGAAGAAGACGGAGGCGGGGACGAGGCCGGAGCGATTATCCTCAACCAAGATGGGGTCCCAGGTGCGCGGTCTCAGCCCGAAGAAGACGGAGGCGAGGATGAGGCCGGAACGCTTATCCTCAACCAAGATGGAAGTGATCCGCTTATCCCCAACCAATATATATGGGGTCTCAGTTGCTCAGTCTCAAGCTGAACGAAGCTGGAGGCGGGGACGGGAGGGCTCGCACGAACAAGTGATTTGTTTATCCTCAACCAATATGCGGTCTCAGGTGTTCATTCTCAAGCTGAACGAAGCTGGAGGCCGCCACGCTTATCCTCAAGTAGAAGGGGGGCGGGGGCGGCCATCCCCACCGCCCTTGTTCCCGAGGTCGGCATGTCTGAGGACGTGGGCGATGAAGGCCCAATTCCTGCACATACCGTGTTGAGCTGTGGCAGAAGGCCAAAACGGGCATGCATGTCCAGCCGTTCTTGGATTCAGAGTCGTTGCCAGCAGGTAGCCTCGTGAAAGTGCACAGCGCAGCATCCTGTGGCAGCACATCCTTCGACGCCGCCACCATAGCATACTAAGCCTCAAACTGCTATCTAGCATCAACAGATATCACTGGCCTGTGGCCCGGTGCGAGCCTCAGATATGGAAGCCTCCGCCAGTGTCGTCGCAGGTGGTCTTTGATAGCGTTGCAGCGGCCCGTGCTTCTCAGGTCAATTGGCACGACAATGATGTCCGACGACATGAACGAAGACTTCCAGAGCACAGACCATTCGATTCGCGACTCCGACCAGGTGGACCGTGAGGACGGGTTCGATGACTGGGACTGGGTCGAACAGGAGATGCAGCGTGAAGCCGAGGAAGGTGCACGTGAGAGAGCAGCATTGGACAAAGAAATGGACATCCAGAATGCATACAACAAACGTCTGGCGAACATGACGGTGAAGTACATGAATATGAAGGGTGATGAGGTTCACGCCTCAAGGCCCTACCCGTGCTGCCAGCTTGAATGCGGCTCGTTCCGTGAAGCTTGGCTGACCACTTTACACGACGGAAACAACCCGGATCGATTTCTCTCCCTGTGCCAGCTACGTGAAAGACGGCAGAAGGCCAAAAAGCCTTTGCCTGCAGAAATACTACAGCATCGCAGCCCCAGAGAAGTCCTGCTTCACGACCTGGACAGCAGTCGCATTGGACCGATCTGCCTGGATGCCACAAAACTGGCGTTGGGCGGGGATGTGATCACGGATGCCTGGAGTTGGGATGAGCTCTTGGATCGCAGCTTGAGCGATGGCACCGTGCACGTGCACGTGGTCTTCAATTCCGAGCAGTCCAACGGCCGACAGTCCTAGAGCTCCAAATCTGAGCTGCACGGAGAGAGAATACGAAATGTGCCCCAGGACTGCAGCAAAATGAAAGGGTCAGAGCCACCGGAACATGGTCTTCTTGAGCTTCTGCATGTTCTGCAAGGTTGCTGCAGCCAGGTGAAAGGGTCAGAGCTGCCCGAACATTACTTTCTTGAGCATGTTGTGCAAATTTGAACTCCTGTCTTGCGCGTGCTGAGGCTTGGGCAACCCCGCAGCTTTTCGGCAGTCAGCCACAGTTGAACTAAACCAATTCGGTAGACTCGTCTTCGTCATGGCTCCCTGCCAGCGATGCGGCTTTGGCATCAGAAGCGGCAGAGGCAGCGGATGGTGCAGCAATGTCGAGTGCCGAGAAGCAGAGAGAGCGGAGAAGAAAGCTCGCATTGAGCAAGAACGGGCTGCAAAAGGAGCAGGCAGGCGCGGGCCCTTGCCCAACGAGAACAGCAAGGAAGCACAGCGGCGACAGCTGATGGAGGCAAGAGCACACGCAACGGAGGAAGGAGCCGGCGGCCGAGGTCCTTTGCCCGACGAGAACAGCAACAAAGCAGAACGGCGACAGCTGCATGAGGCAAGAGCACACGCAACGGAGGAAGGAGCCGGCGGCCGAGGTCCTTTGCCCGACGAGAACAGCAAAGAAGCACAGCGGCGACAGCTGATGGAGGCAAGAGCACACACAACGGAGGAAGGAGCCGGCGGCCGAGGTCCTTTGCCCATCGCCTCGGAGATTCAGCAGCAAGGTTACCCTTTCCCAAACGAAGACACTTTAACCCCGGAGCAAGCACAGGCACAGTACTTGGCTTTTGCACGGAGCTGGAGTAGATTCGGCCTTTCCCGTGTGTGCGAGAAGTGCCAGACCTTGACACCAGCGAGGCATTGCAAAAGAGGCAAAGGCACCGAGCAGCTACTGTGCAGGAACTGCCGCGAGAATCGCCCAAAGGTGGTCTTGCCAACTCCGGCGCCCATCCCAGAAGCATTGCAACGACTGCGACCCATCGAGCAACATCTCCTCGCCATGGCCCGCATCTCGCAGGTCCTGCTGGACAAGCTCCCATCAGGGGGCCCCAGCGCACAATGGGGCCGCATGTACGCCGTTCTCATGCAAGAACCCTTCATCTGCGGAGTCCTCGAGGGCGCAAGCTTGGAGGAAGACGGGACAGTGTTGGTCGAGGGCGTCGACGGCGTCACCGCATCTCCAGCACGTTTGGAGTTTCTCCACGCGGCCTTGCAAGATTTGAGACGTCATCACCGCCTCTATCAACAGTGCCCGGCCGTCGAGACAGCCTTGGCACGAATGGCTGCCATCCTGGCCAACAAAGCTCCCGCTGCCTCAGCTACAAAGCCAACAGACCCACCTCCAGCCGCACAAGCAGAAGAAGAAGAAGTTGAAGTGACCTACCTTTTACCGAAACAGTTCCAGGCTCCGAAGGCCGACGTCCACGACTTGCGAAAGGCCCGAGGATCTGCAGACCTCAGCGACGACTTGGATGCGAAGTTCTTCCCGCACCTGTTTCCCTCCGGCTTTGGAGGCTGGCAGAACGAGTACGGTGGCTTCGCCCAATATGCACGGAGGCGTCTGCTGAGCGCGGATGGCCGCTTTGAAGGCTCCACGGGCTACATCATGTGGCTCCTAGAGATGAAGACCAAGAAGCGCCTCTCCGGAAATATCAACGTCCGCATCAGCAACCAACGGACACCCCGCTGCAAGAGTGAATACGAGAACGGCAGCCGTCGGGTATATGCAGCCTTGCGGGACATTCCTGGCACGCAGCCTTACCTGTACGCCAAGAAAGGGGTGGCCCTGAACATGTATGAGCAGCTTGGCATTCCCAGCTTCTTCATGACGCTCTCCTGCCACGCGCGGCAACCTGCCATGCTCCTCGCGGCTATCTCCGGGCGGCTGCTGCGGCTGCATCCCGAACGGCCGCAAGGAGAGTTGGAGCACCACGCTGCCGAGATCCTGCACCTCTACCAGAACGACAAGAACTTCAAGTGGGATGGGCTCTCGCCCAACCAGCTGTGCAACCAGCAGCCGGCGGTGGTAGCCCGACAGTTCATGCACCAGCTGTCCCAGCTGATGTGGTGGCTGCAGTCCGGCACACGTGCACGAAAGTTCCGCTTAGACGAAGACGGTGACCCGCAAGATGAGGTCAAGGAGAGCGACGGCGAGGACACGGAAGACGATGCCCAGGCCCCGGCCGCGGACTCCGCAGGCCTGCACCACCGCATGCACAAGCAAAGGCCGCCTTTCAAAGTTTTGGATTACATCATTCGCATAGAATGGCAAAAGAGGGGCTACCCCCACGCTCACATATTGCTTTGGATCGAAGAGTGGGTGAAAGCCAGGAAGCAGTCAGATGAGCCGGCGCCCGACAACGGCGAGGCCACGGTCCCAGACTGGTCGGACGAGGAAGCCATGGAAAGTTTCATTCCCAAGTCTGCGGAAGATCTCAGCGACAAGCACATCACCACCAAGTCTCCGAACTCGTGGCGCCAATCCCAGCGTGTAGCAGCCCGAGATAGAGAGGTGAACGCAAAGCTCGCCGCAGAAGTGGTGCACAACCACACGCCATATTGCGGCATGTACACACAAGGCAGTTGTCGATCTGGGTTTCCACACGACCCGGAGCCGCGGACCCGACGGCGAACGTCTCAGGAGCAGTACGCCAAAAGCCGCTGGAAAAGCAGCCTTGCCGTGAGAAGAGTCAAGGGGGACAGCATGATGGGCCAGTACAACATACGAATACTGAGGAGGTGGAGGGCAAGCATGGACTTGCAGGTCATTTGCGAACTCACAAGCGCCAGCCGCTACATATTGGGCTACACTTTCAAATCGGAGGAGGATCGCGACGCGCAGCGTCGCATGGAGAACATCCTGGCCGACCTGACGTCCAGCGCTTCGGGCGAGGGCCTGGACAATCAGAAGGTTTACAAAGCAGCGCACGCAGCGTTGCAAGGCAGGACCACTTCCACCTTCGAGGCATGCCACCTGCTACTGGGTTACCCGATCATCGAGTTCTCCAGAGACAACGTTTGGGTGCAAGTAGGACCTCCGGACACCTGGACCGTGTGGGTGCCAAAGCACGAGGAAAAGGTGGCCTTGAAGCAGCCTGACCATTACCACAGCAAGAAGGCACCGAAGCGGGGACCTGCCTGCCGCTCATCACTGGTACCGTGAAATGCAGACGAGATTCGGCGACCAAGAAACAGCCTTGCCGGTGGAAGGTGGCGAACCGATTTCCTGTCGGTTCATGGACGTCACCTTCCTGGACTTTTGCGCGGCTTTCAGGTACATAGGCGTCCAAGAGCCACAACCTCGCAAGAAGCCTGCGATCGTTGGCTACCAGAACTTCAACCCGGACGAGGAGTCGGAAGCCTTCTACTACTCCAAGTTGCTGCTGCATCTAGTCTGGAAGGAGCCAGGCGATTGGCTGGTGGAGCAAGACGCGGGAAGCCACGCAGCAGCATTCCATCGCGTCGCCCGAGACGTGAACGGCCACCCGGATTTCCTTCGGTCCAAATGCTTCCCTCAGCTGGACGGGACAGTGAACGCCGCTCGACAGCTGCAGGCCGTGCAGGCCACGATGTATATGAAGGCACATGCATCGGCACAGTGTCGGGACGGATGGTTCAACAGCAAGATCGCCGAAGAGAACTACAAAGACTCCTTGCAAGTTTTGGAGGCACTGAGAGAGCGGCATGGAGAAAATATCGACTTCCTTGCCCCAGACACCGTGGCCACGGGGCCTGCCAGCAACGCTTTCGCGCCGGTTGAAGAAGGCGAGGAGTCCTTCCAGAAGCTCACGATCGAGAACCCCAGTCCAGAGACCATGCGCCAGAGAGAAGCGATGAACTACATCATCAGCACGATCCTGAAGCCCCCCGATGCAAAGGACGGCCAGACTAGCCAGCGCCTTCACATGCTTCTTCACGGGCCGGGAGGCTGCGGAAAGTCCGTGGTGGTGCGTGCAGCAGCTCATGTCTTGCGGCAAAGCAAGAAGGGATGCATCATCGCGGCGCCCACGGGCGTGGCA